ACCTTGCTCTTGGCCCTGCCCTGCCAGTGCATGCACATGGAGGCCACCTGGCAAATCTCGCCATATCTCTGAACCTTGAACAATTACCTGCAGGTCATTTATTCCCACGTGTCTTTGGTTTTCTTTGAATTTGAACCATTACTCACAGGTCATTCATTTGCCTCTGTGATTCTTGAACCACTATCTACAGGTCATGTATTCACCAGTGTCTTTGATTTTTTTGAATTTGAACCATCACCCACTCGTCAATCATTTCCCACAAGCTGAGTGTTGGACCATTACCCACAGTCCAGTTACTCCCCATTTCCTGAATTACTGGTTTGCAAGTGTTGCCATTTATTCCCCAGTTCCTCAATCTTGAACCATTAACCACAGGTCATCTGCTTCCAATGCTTCGAAAGCCTTTGAATCTTGAACCATTACCCACGCGGAACTCATTCTCCACTTCCTGAACAACTTAATTTCATGTTATTTGTCGGTGATAGTGGTTAAGCAGAAGTTGCCAAGGGAGAGCACAAAGGATTCGTTTCTCAGAAGTGCAGCGGTAGTTCCTGTGACATGTCTTCTGCAAACCATGGAAGCACTGCACTCATCTCCAGTGCTGTGGATAGTGACCAACATCATCTGACAGGTGCATAGACATTGCTCTATCATGCTTTTTCTTGTCAACGAGAATAGCAACTGGGAGTTACAGCCTCATTCAAAACCAAATTCCAAAACCAAACCAAGTTCCTGCTGTCTGGCATTGTTTTCCCTATCTGACAAGCAGAACAACCCAGGTTTGCTACCTCATCCAAATTGGTCACTGTGTCCAGAAGTGAGGCACCTTGTGGCCCGTCTGTGGCCTCCCCACCACCTTGTGTGGCCTGTGTGGATGCAGATTTTCCACAATTTGTGGCTGCTCCAGCCTTTTGCTGAAAGGCTGCAGTGCTTTTGGACTCTATGGCCTGGCCTGGAGAAGAGGCGGCTGTTGTTGCAGTTTGCACCACTTGTGAAAAGGCAGAGTCAGCAATGGGACAGGGGCATCTTAGAATGGCCTGCCACCTGACTATTGTGTTGGCACAGAAGAAATGGACTTCTCGGCTCGTCAACCTCGTTCAACCAAGACGCAGTAATGTGCACAACGTGCGTTGTGCCACGTTCTCTTGAAACGTTGTCATTATTGCGAGCGAGCGGAGCTCTTAGAGGAAAAATGCGGTGGAGCCCGGCCGCCGACCGCGCACACCCGGCACATCCCCGGGCTTCCTTGCGCCGTGCGCGAGGGGCGGGCACTCCGCGGCGGGGGCGCCGACCGGGCACTCCCCGCCCATCCCCGGGCTTCCTTCGCCGGCTCGCGGCGCGGGGCGCGGGCGCCGGCCGGCGACCCGCCATCACGGCGCGGTGGCGCGTCTCGTTGGGATTGCGCATGACTAATGGTCGCTGCGCGGAGGCCCGGGACGCCTCCGGAGCGTGCGCCGCGCGGTGCCATTTTTTTTTCGCGTTACGCTCGTGGACGTTATGGGGCTTGCGTAACCGCCCCTGCGGGGGTTCGTGTGGTGACGGTGCGCGCCTTCCGTCGTACCGAGGGTCTTCTACCGTCCCGTTCCCGTTGTCCCGAGCGAGAGCAAGTGTCACGTGTCATGTGACATCTATGTACTACATTGCATAGTTGGATGTGGATGTGCACACTGCAGTGTGCGCTGGGGCGTGCACCAGTGTATTGCACAATGTATGAGACTGCAACGATGTACTGTGCATGTACTCCGATGCACACTGACGTACTTCAATATGTATTTAGCCTTTGAATCTGTTGTCCACTTTGTACTGCAGGCATTGAGGCGTCCCACAAATAATGGCGACTTCGGCCGCCAGAATGGCCGCAGCCTGGATACCGTTGTTATGCCTTTTCACCACGTCGTTAATGTCACATGCAAGGTGTGCCATTCGCATTATGGATAAATGACTGAGCAAGTGTTGTGTGCGCTAAAGAACTGGACACATTGGCGCTGCCTGTGTGCCCCTAAGTACTGAGTGCCCTCTGCCATTGCTTGTATTTGAAAGATGAGATTACTAATGCGTGTGCACCTCAAATACGTGGGGAAGACTGTGGCCATATGTGTGCTCTGAAGTACTGAGCATGCTTTGCTTCTTCCCACTCGTGCCAAAGTGCTAGAAAATGTGGCATTGCTTGTGTGTGTGCCAAAGTACTGTGTAGTTGTGGTGCTGTTCCTTCAATAGTTTATAACATGCACAGACAGATATGGTGCCGTTTGCTGCACTCTGGTGTGGGCAACCAACAGGAGCATTGCATTAGGAGCATGGCACTGAGAGGGTAACAACAGGAGGAGTGCAAGTCCAGCAGGGCCATATCTAATTTCACTCAAAGTATAAAGCTTTTCGTGCCAGGTTTCAATTGTAAACCTTGTGCACAAGCGTGACAGTTGAAGCCAGGCACGGAAAATGTTATGCTTGGAATGTGACAAGAATGTGGTGCTTATGAGAGTTCAGTGTTGGGAGCATGACAGGATGAGTGTGGTGCTAGGGAAGCAAGTAAATAGGAGCCTAGCACTGGAACATAATTTGCCCATGGGCCCAGTGCAGTTGGTCACATTGCTTGGCAAACAGAACTCAATCTGATTTGGGGCGCAAAGAGGATGCACGATCATAGAATATGCATTAAACATAATATATGTCGTCACGATGTTTGCCAAATTGATTGATTTTGTTAGCATGTTTAGTTTAGATTACTAATTTTGTCTGATTGTCTCTTGTGGCAAGGATGTAAATATTCGGCAACGTTAGCAGCAGTGCATTGGTGCCAGGTTCTCACATAATTTGCCCCCTTGCAGGATTTTAACTTTACAAGAACTCAGCACAATAGCTGCTGATGGCGCTGACCTGTCAGAAGGTGAGCTAGACTTGGGTGCCATTTGAACTGTACTGGAAACCACCCCTGTGGTGTGCTTAACTGCTGCATTGTACTCAACGTATGTGGCGCATTGTGGCCAACTGCTGTAACTGCACAATGCAAAGTCAAGTAGGGACACATTGAATTGCAACAAGTGTTGCTGTGATGATGCAATGCACCTGATCGTGATTGCGCTCGCTATTGCTTGCTTGCAGTTTGTGCGGATTCTGCGACACCGCATTGAACTTGAAGTTTGATAGTTTGTTGAACAAACTCGGTGGTTGATGTTCTTCTGTTGGCGCAGAATCCAATCTCGGTCGCGGACTTCTACAGAATTCTACTGGAACAAATTCTACTGAAAGAAATACTGCTGGAAGAAATTCTACTGATTTGGGCGAGGTGGGTTTCAAAGTGGAACCTTTTGCTGTTGTTGCCCAAGCTCTCGGTTATCTGGCAATCCCTCCCTCAAACTCGCCCCCTCCTAAATGCTTCCTGCGCATTTCTGTTCAAATGCTTGTATCTGTGCCGACCCAATCTTGCCGATTCTGACATCCTTCACAGGATAGGAGTCTTTTTCTTTGACGGAATCTATTTTTCAGATGGAGGACAATTAATATGGACGGAGGAAGTATCACTCAATGGGACAGAGGAAGTATCACTCAATGGGACAGAGGAAGTATCGCTCAATGTGATCGGCTGATGGAAATAGTAGTCATGCCGTTGCAGGCCCCTTGGGAAGTCGCCATGGACGGGAACGCCGGGAGTGTCAAATGGACCCTCATGCTCGGCTCCGATCTGTAAACCAAAATCTTGTGTCGTTTTGATCATTAACAGCGAAACTCCTCCCATTCAAATAGTCTTTTCTGCATTTATATTCAGAGTATATCTGTTTCTATCCTTGCTTAAGTTAATGGCAGACGAAGTTAATTCCATGCCGTTGCAGGCCCTTTGGAAAGCCGCCATGGAGGGCAACGCCACGGCCGTCGAACAGGCCCTCGCGCTCGGCGCCAACACGGAATTTCGAAGCGGCAAGTACAACGACACAGCCCTCGTGGCAGCTGCCGCGAAGGGCCACGCCGATGTAGTCAGCATCCTGCTGGACGCCGGTGCTGACGTCGCCGCCGTGGACATCGACGGCGTCACGGCCCTGTGGCTGGCGGCGCAGAAGGGCTACGTTGACATAGTCAACGCGCTCATTGAATTTGGGGCGGCGGTCAACGCCACGCGGCCATCGGACGGCAGCGGGCCGCTGTTTGTGGCGGCGAAGGAGGGCCACCCCGAGGTCGTGGAGGTGAGTGGCGCATGTTGTGGGCCACTTCGTAATACAAACTACACACGCGTTTTGTGGGCTATTTATGATGTAAGAATGCATATTATGCTTTTGAGCAGCTTTTTTAAAGTGTTATTGAGGTGTTTTTTGGGCAGCTTCATTTTTTGTGTTTTTTGCTGTTTGTTGGTATCAGCTGCGCCGCGGCAAACCCATTGCAGACGCTGGGTCACCGGTCGACTTCGCTTCGCCACGGCGCTCAAGTAACACTATTTCGCGGATGATTGACCGCAGTACTTTATAGTACTTGGTTGTGCCACATTTTCCTGATAATGTGTTAAGATGCCGTTGAAAATGTACGTACTTATTGAAAAAGAACTGTGCCAAGTATAACACCAATGTACAAGTATGTTTGGCACCGTTTTGAGGTGCTTTGTGCGTCCCACATTAATGCAATCATTATTCTTGTGCTCACATGCTCTGTGTTACAGAGCCTGTGTCCGTCAGTGGACACATATTTTGTACCCGTTGACTTAAGGCTCTGGTTCGCACTCCGCATTCGACATTGTACTTTATGCTGTACTTCCACTTGAACTTTGTGCGTGGCATTTTCCTTACTGTGGATTACACTGCCCTTCGTGATTTGTTTTGAGCTGCAGCGTGCATGCCCTAGATTTTACTTTGAACTGCACTTGGCTCCAGGTGCACCCCACATTGCACGTGATGCTGTATATGATGTATGTATGTTGCAGCTACACCTGCCGTACATAGTGCAACAACCTCACTGTACTTAGTGCAGTACTTCATTTCCCTCAGATCCTGTTGGAAAACGGTGCCGATGGGGAGATGGAAAGGGGCTCGGATGGCACCCCGCCGCTGCTGTTGGCAGCATCGATCGGCCGCACTGAAGTAGTTAAGGTACGTGGTTCTTTAATTACGTTTCAGTTGGCTTCTTAGTGAATTAGCTATGAATTTAATCATCTGACTAATTTATCTATATGCATGATTTAATGAGCAGTGTTTGGATTGCCTGCCTGTGCTATGTATTGGGTGAGCACTTTTTAAATTTCGGATGCTCAGTTTCTTGTGGAAGCTGCAGCTGTATTGGATGATCAACTTGCATGTTATGGTGCATCAATGGCGCAAAATTTTGAAAGAATAGTAGGTTATGGTGTTGGTATCATGATTCAGTAATTAAACAGGGGTGTGCTCAACGTTTTAGTGACCGCACTTCTTTGAACAAACCAGTAGTTTATCTGACCACAGTCTTTTATGTTCCTATTGCTCTTGTCAGGTGCTTCTCGCTGCTGGAGTGGACCCCAATCGGACACGAACCTCTGATGGGCTGTTTCCTCTCTACGCTGCCGCCAGCGCAGGCCGTTTGGTCATCGTGGAAGTGAGAGCTTTTTACACTCCCGTCGAGTTCTTTTAGTGCCTGCTGTGTCCACGCCTTTGTTTCTTGGGAGCACTGAAGAGAAAGGCACGACAGATAGGCCCCACTTTTCAATGGCTCCCTCTGGGCAGTGTTTCCTGCCTCCTGCTTTAGCTCGATTGAGCGCTGTCTCTTTCTACTTGCAGATTTTTTGATCTGACGGCCACTGAACCATTGAAGTATTTGATGATTTTGCTTGTTAATAAGATACTTTTAGTCGGTCTGTATGTGTTGTTTTTTCATTATGTTTTATTGTACTTTTGGTGATTTCACCATAGGCACTGGTCGATGCGAAAGTCAACGTGGATGCGCGCATGTTAGAGACCAATCAGACAGCAATCTTTGCCGCTGCTGGTGGCGATCACGTGGACGTTCTGGAGGTGCTCATCGGCGCAGGTGAAGCCCTTGAGTATTGCACCGAATTGCTGCGTCAAAGTATTGGCCACTACTGTGCGCCGAGACGGTTTGTCGACTTATTCCTCTCTCATATCTGGATTTCATCCTTAACATTCGGTCAGTATTCCCTTCAGTCTTGATGCTTCCAAGAAGTATTTGAATAATCAATCAATCAAAAATCAACAATCTGTAATCTTTGTCATCATGGAATTGTACATAACAAGGCAAGAAGGTGGCCTTCTGCTTCCTATTTTGTCTGATCGATTGATCAAGTAATCAGGCAGTCAGTCAGCTGGACAGTCAATCAATCAATAATTTAGTCAGGCAGTTAAATTACATCAATGTTGAAAATTGCAAGTACCGATCTTTTGTCCTTTACTTGTTAATTTCCACAGGTGCCAATGTGACAGCCAGAGACAGCGACGGCGCCACGCCCCTCCATGTTGCCTCAGCTGCTGGCCGCATCGACGCTGCACGCGCACTCATCGCTGCAGGTGAAGCCCTTAAGCACTGCTGCAAAGCCACTGCAGTACTGGCTGCCGCCATGTGCAGGGATGGATTGCTAATGTTCTTCCCCTCTCCCCCGTTTGTTCAGTTCTTGTTAATAAATGTACTTTTTGCTGAATCGCTCAATGCAGTGCTAGCCAGTATCCAATACATTCTTCACATTGTTAAAGTCCTTCCAACTTTGTTTGTGTTCTACATCAGATTTGAATGAACTGATCATTGACAGTGCATTGCCTAGGCAAAATAGGAAGCTGAAGGCTACCTCACTGCCTTGTCACGTCAAAATGAATGACAGAGATCTTAACCAATGATCGTTTGTGTTTGCTTTGTTGGTTGCTTCAGGTTCTGACATTCAGTCGACAACTACCATTGACGGTTCAACACCAGTCTACCTGGCCGCCGCCGCTGGCCATGCCGATTTGGTGCGCGCACTGCTGGTGAAGGGCGGGCGGGCCGACGCACCCCGGGAGGGCACTGGGGACCGGCCGCTGATGGCAGCCTCAGGGAACGGCCACAGGGACGTGGTGCTAGTACTTCTGCTGAACGGGGCGGAGGTGTGTGCATGGAAAAGTGGTAAAGAAAAATACTACAAAGTACTGAGACTTGCGCCACTTTCTTTCAAGAGTGTGTGTGGCGTGAGATGGAGTAAATCTCATGCCATGAGATTTAGGACACAACACTGTACTAAATGGGTCTGGGGCTGTTGTGCATGGGTTGCCTTCAGTGGCTGAGAAAAGTGGAACAAATGCTCTGGACATACCAGGGATGGGGCATGACTTGTAAAGTCGAAATCTTGGTATAAAAGGAATCCTAAATTAATGGAAAACTCTCTTACTGTACTAAATGGATAATCAATACATGCATATGAGATACTCAAGTAATATACAGCCTCATGTATTGTGTGGGGTAGTAGAATAATGGTTCATTTGAGCAGTGCCTAAGTGGTATATGGAGTGACAATATGTCATGTAGAAAACAGGAAAGTGTGCCTAGATATGAAGTACACTGAAGGTCTGTGGTGGTGAATGCGTGGACTGTGTCTGTTTTGTGTATCCACAAGCGACCTTATCACAACCAAGCACTGGTGTGGAAAGGTGGTCCAAGACTTAGTACTCCTAGTAATGTTTTTACCACTTGTTATTGAAGGGATATTAGTACTTGAAACAGATTACCTGTTTCCAATACTTGTCAGGGTACTTGATTCCAATGCTCAACACAAGAATGCCCCACAGGTATACAGAACAGACGATGCCATGGCCCTTCCCCAGGTTCGACAGCCATGGTTATTGCCCCATATTCCTGTGACTCGCACAGAATATTTTTTGTTTACTGTTGTGTTGAATTGGGTTCAGTCCACCTGTCCAGTGCCCAGTGCATCACACAGCACTCAGTTTCAATACAGCCAAATGCGATGCACACTGGTTTCAAGATGACCTACCAGAATGTAGCTATGCGCCTTCTTCAACAAATGAATTTCGAGGACAACAAGGAAAGGGGTATGGATTGAGGTTGGCGATGTGTTTCAACTCCAGTACTTGGCGCTGTAATCCTCCACAGGTAGACGATGTGGAAGGCAATGCCAGCACGTCTCTCCGCGTAGCCAGCGGCAACGGGCAGTCTGCCTTGCTCATTTCACATTCACAACAATGTTCCTGTAAATCCATAAATGCATTTACTTGATGTATAGTTGATTTGAAGCAACCCCAGCAATTCCCAGTGCTTCATCCTGTACTTTGTTACAGTACCTTGTGTGGCATCTGCACACCAGTGTTCTGCAGAGTACTGGCTGCAGTATGCACTTAATTGATCTCAATCGGTGTGTACAGACCCAGTGCTCAGTTTCAGTACTTTGTCCTATACTTCCAATCCAGTACTCAGCACACCATTGCCTCGCAGGAGGACGACACCGATGTTAATGGCATTATGGCCCTCCACCTGGCCAATGCCAAAGACTATTATCCTTAATCTGATATTGTGTGTAATTGACTTCTGTCAAGTTTTCATCAGGCACTATTGGGCCCCAGTACTTTGTCCAGTACTTCCACCCCAGTGCTTACCACAGTACTGCCCAGCAACTGGATATTGCTGACATCCATGGTACCGCTGCCATGCACTTGGCCAATGGCAAATATCAGCTCTTTCCATTTGCATAGTGCCCAAGACTTCACGCAGTGCACGCAGTACTTGCCCCCAGTACTTTGTCCAGTACTTAATCCACTACTGCCCTGCAGGTGGACGCCACAGATGTAAATGGCACCACGGCCCTCCACCTGCCCAGCAGCAGAGAATGCTTTCCTCTCAAGTCTGTCCATGCACTTAAGTCATCACAATCAACCTGTACCCAGTACTTCATGCAGCACGCACCCCCACTATATTGTCCAGCATTTCTGCTCCAGTACTTAACGCACTGCTGCCCCGCATGTGGACGCCACAGATTTAAATGGCACCACGGCCTTCCACCTGCCCAGCAGCAGAGACTGCTTTTCTCTCCAGTGTGAAAACAATCAACAATCAACCCGTGTCATCACAATCAACCTGTACAATACCCAGTAGTTCATGCAGCACACACCCCCACTACATTGTACAGTACTTCTGCTCCAGCACTTAATGCAGCGCTGCCCCGCAGGTGGATGCCACGGATGTAAATGGCACCACGGCCCTCCACCTAGCCAGCGGCAATGGCCACGCCGACGTAGTGGAGGCCCTCCTCGATGCGAGGGCAGATGTAAATCTGACCCGTGTGTCAGATGGGTCAACAGCGCTGTACTTTGCAGCAAGGACAGGTCAACGCGACGTAGCCAAAGTACTGATCGAGGCAGGGGCTGATGTGGATGCGATGAGAAGTAAGGATGGGTACACACCGCTGTTCGTGGCAGCCATCCGAGGGCACGAGGAAACGGTTCAGGTGGGTATTTCAGCGCACTGTTGTGGGTTTTCGATCGCTTTTGGCAAATGTTGGTTGAGGGAATGTTGATTATCTGTGCGGTGATTGTCCTTCCTTTCTCCAAAAGCATATTATTAAAAACCATCATGTTTGAGTTGTTTCGGGTGCTTTAATTGCTTGAATGGGATGGGATGCGTACGCCCAGGGGGTCACAACATCACAATGCTTAGCGCAGCACTTCCACATCCGCAACAACGCCACAGTACCCAGCGGCGCACTTCGCGATCGTGGACAATGCCATAGAGCTTAATGCAGTACACTGCAGTCACAGACAACGCCGCGCTACTCAATCCATCACTTCACAATGTAAGTCGATGCTGCAGCACTTGTCAGTACTCAACGCGGTACTTAACAGTACTTTGCGCCACAGTACTCAACACTGTACTTCGCAATCAGAGACAACACCGCAGAACTTGGCAGTACTTAACGCAATACTTTGCTCCGAGACAACTCCACAGCACTAAACACAGTACTTGGCAATTGGAACCAACGCCTTAGAAGTTAGCAGTACATAACGCCGTAACCAACAGTTCTTAACACTGCTCTTAATAGTGCTTCACGGTGTGCGTTGCCTGCAGACAGTGTCGCAGTGCCCAATACAGTGCTTCACAATCGGAGACAGCGCTGCAGTACTTAGCAGTACCTAACGCATTGTTTAACAGCACTGAACACAGTACTTAACAGTACTTTACCCTCAGCCAACGCCGCACTGCTCAACAAGAAGAAGATGGCGCCAAACTACTTCGCAGCACTTGGTGCAGTGGTTGTTGTACTTAACACAGTACTTTTCCCGCAGGAGCTATTGGAGTCTGGCGCGTCTGCTACCAAAGGCGTCGCCAATGGCGCAGCGCCCATCCATGGCGCCGCTCAAGAGGGCTACACGGAAATCGTTCAACTTTTGTTGACTAATGGCGCAAGCATCGATTCAGTGGCCGACGACGGCAGCACGCCCCTGTTCCTTGCGGCCCTTAAAGGGAGTTTGAATTCGGTGCAGTTTTTGATAGAAAAAGGTGCAAGTGTCAACAAGGCGCGCAGCCTGGACGACTTCACACCGCTGATGGGCGCCTCGCTGAGGGGCCACGTGGCGGTGGTGAACGCGCTGCTGGAGGTGAGGGGCGTACTTTGTGGCAGTACTTCTGCTACTTGGGGGCAGCAGTACAGCTCTTCGCTTGGGCAGGAGTAAGTACTGTGGGACCATGCGCTGTTGGCAGGGTACTTGAAAGACAGTAGTCGGGAGGGGAAGGAAGGGCTGGGGATATTTGGCGTCGTTTTGGTGGGGTACTTAAGGACAGTACTTCAATGGAGTGGTGCACTGCAAAGAGGAGTAAAGTCGTGGCTCTGTACTGGCGGAGTGATCAAGGGCAATATTGGTAATGAGTGATGCATTGGCATATATTCTCTCGTTCTTGTTTTGAGTGGAGTGCACCAAAGCTTAGGTTCCATCTAGTGGCAAGCGTGCATGCAGCAGTGTTCATTTCCTATCAGATGTGCAAATATATTGCGATGGTTAGGCGAGTATTTGACCAATGCTTGACACAACAAAAGAAAC